AGATAAGGGTTGGGGGGGGTGAATATATTTTAAATCAGTCAGATCCTCATTAGAGTATTTTATTTTGTCTTGATCCCCAAACCTCAAATGAATGTGGAGAAACTGAAGCATGTCCAGAGAAAAGCGGCAAGATATCCCGACAGACAGAACACAAATGGGATCAGAGGGAGTGAGAGACTTAGTTAAAACAAGATCAAAGTGTCGTGTACTCACTCCATTCAAGTATAAATTGTGTTTTATGAGGACTCTGTAAACAAACAAAAGAAAGTGGATTCTTAATAAATTAAAGCTGGGAGTATTTCATATGGACACAAGAAAGAACTTTAATACAGTATGTTTGCTAGGGCTTCCATAACAAAATACCATAAAATGGGTGGTAAATAACATAAATCTCTTTTCTCACAATTCTAGAGGCTAGAGGTCCAAGATCAAGGTGTCAGCAGGTTTGGTTTCTTCTGAGGCCAATCTCTCTCCTTGGCTTGCAGATGATGGCCACTTTTTTTTTTTTGGTTTTTGGTTTTTGGTTTTGAGAAGTCTCACTCTGTCACTCAGGCTGGAATGCAGTGGTGTAATCTTGGCTCACTGCAACCTCCATTTTCTGGGCTCAGGTGATCCTCCTGTCTCAGCCTCCCAAGTAGCTGGGACTATAGGCATGGACCACCACGCCCGGCTAATTTTTGTATTTTTAGTAAAGATGAGGTTTCACAGTGGTCTCGAACTCTTGACCTCAAGTGATCTGCCTGCCTCAACCTCCCAAAGTGCTGGGATTACAAGCATGAGCCACTGCACCCGGCCACAGATGGCCACTTTCTTTCTAGGTCCCACAAGATCAACCCTTGGTCTGTGTTGTGCCCTAATCTTTTCTTTTAAGGACATCAATTATTTTGGATTAAGCCCACCCTAATGATCTCATTTTAACCTTTATAAAGGTCCTATGTCTAAAAAAATACAGTCATACTCTAAGGTTCTGGGTGGGGGTTAGAGCTTCAATATACAAATTTTGGAGGGACACAACTCATCCTGTAATAGCAATATGAAAAAGTCCAAGAGGCACTTAAGAAATTACCACAGTCTCTGTTCCTCAAGATCTTAAAAAAAGAAAGTAGAAATAATCTATCTAAATGATTTCAACATTTACCTGATTTAAGACAGAGGACTTAAGGAGATGAATTTTCTTTTATTTAAGTTCCAGGATACATGTGCAGGATGTGCAGGTTTGTCACATAGGTAAATGTGTGCCATGGTGGTTTGCTGTACCTATCAAGCCCCACATGTATTAGCTATTTATCCTGATGCTTTCTCTCTGACCCCCATTGGCCCAGTGTGTGTTGATCTCCTCCCTGTTTCCATGTTCTCTCACTGTTCAGCGCCCACTTATAAGTGAGAACATGTGGTGTATGGTTTTCTGTTCCTGTGTTAGTTTCCTGAGGATAATGGCTTCAAGCTCCATCTATGTCCCTGCAAAGGACGTGATCTCATTCTTGTTTATGGCTGCATAGTATTCCATGGTGTATATGTACCACATTTTCTTTATCCAGTCTATCATTGATGGGCATTTGGGTTGATTCCATGTCTTTGCTATTGTGAATAGTGCTGCAATGAACATATGCATGCATATATCTTTATAATAGGATAATTTATATTCCTTTGAATGTATATATCCAGTAATGGATCAAATGGTATTTCTGGATCAAATGGTATTTCTGGTTCTAGGTCTTTGAGGAATTGCCACATTGTTTTCCACAATTATTGAACTAATTTACATTCCTACCAACACTGTAAAAGTGTTCCTACCTCTCCACAGCATTGCAAGCATCTGCTGTTTTTTGACTTTTTAATAATCGCCGTTCTGAGTGTCGTGAGATTGTTTCTCATTGTGGTCTTGATTTGCATTTCTCTAATGATCAGTGACGTTGAGCTATTTTTCATGTTTGTTGGTGCATAAATGTCTTCTTTTGAGAAGTCTCTATTCATAATGTCCTTTGCCCACTTTTTAATGGGGTTGTTTGGTTTTGTCTTGGACATCTGTTTAAGTTTCTTGTAGATCCTGGATATTAGACCTTTGTTACATAGATTGCAAAAATGTTTTCCCATTCTGTAGGTTATCTGTTCACTCTGATAATAGTTTCTTTTGCTGTGCAGAAGCTCTTTAGTATAATTACATCCCATTTGTCAATTTTTGCTTCTGTTACAATTGTTTTTGACATTTTTGTCATGAAATCTTTGCCCATGCCTACGCCCTGAATGGTATTACCTAGATTTTCCTCTAGGGATTTTATAGGTTTGGTTTTATATTTAAGTCTTTAGTCCATCTTGAGTTAATTTTTGTATAAGGTGTAAAGGAGGGATCAGTTTCAATTTTCTGTGTATGGCTAGCCAATTTTCCTATCACCACTTATTAAATAGGGAATCCTTTCCCCAATGCTTTTGTCAGGTTTGTGAAATATCCGCTGGTTGTAGATGTGCAGTCTTATTTCTCAGATCTCTACTCTGTTCTATTGGTCTGTGTCTGTTTTTGTACCAGTACCATGCTGTTTGGGTTATGGTAGCCTCATAATACAGATTGAGGCAGGTGGCATAATGCCTCCAGCTTTGTTCTTTTGCTTAGGATTGTCTTAGCTATAAGGGTTGTTTTTTGGTTCCATATAGATTTTAAAGTAGGGTTTTTTTTTTCCAATTCTGTGAAGAATGTTAATGGTAGTTTAATGGGAATAGCATTGAATCTACAAATTACTTTGGGCAGTATGGCCATTTTCATGATATGATTCTTCCTAACCATGAGTATGGAATGTTTCTCCAATGTTGATGTCCTCTCTGAATTCCTTGAGCAGTGGTTTGTAGTCTTCCTTGAGGAGTCCCTTCACTTCCCTTGTTTGCTGTATTCCTAGGTATTTTATTCTCTTTGTAGCAATTGTGATTGGGAGTTAATCATGATTTGGCTCTCTACTTGTCTATTGTTGTACAAGTGTGCAGTATAGGCATAGAGATATAAGAATCTCTGTATATAGAAATGATTGTGATTTTTGTACCTTGATTTTGTATCCTGAGACTTTGCTGCAGTTGCTTATTGGCTTAAGAAGCTTTGGGGCTGGGACAATGCGGTTTTCTAGACATAGAATCATGCTATCTGCAAAGAGAAACAGTTTGACTTCCTCCTTTGCCTCTTTTAAGATGAATTTTCAAAGCCCATTTTAATGTAGCACCTGCTTGGTTCCGAAGATACTTAAGAAGGCCTGCTTGACTAATGGTAGTATCAGGGTATGATCCCTAGGGAAGGTTGGGAGGGAGTTTCCCAGAAGAATTCAGTGAATGGATGATAAGGATTCCTTTGGTGAACTGCTGAGGTCCAGCATCAGGCCCTTGGGCTTATGTCCACATATACCTAATTTTATCATCATACAAAAAATAGATTTATCTTTTGGGATAGATGCTCATTAACTAAGCCCATGAAACTCAATAATAAAACCAGAATGAGAATTAATGAGTAATATAACCATCACATGGACCACACTGAATGAATGTATTTTCTTATTATACCTAAGCTTCATGGGAAGTTAACAAAATTGCTTGGTGAAGACGAAATCAGAAGTGTAGTCAGATGTAACAAAAGATTAATAAGAACAAGCTAATAGGCCTAATTTATCTGCTGCCAATAAGGATAATTTTGCCAATAACATAAAGTCTTTTCAGTTCTAATCCTTGGCATCTGTGACAGCTATCAATTTATTGCCTCAGTTTCAAATCTACACTTCATTGCCCTGTATGTGATAGTGGAACATTTGCCAGATGGCATGATGTGAGCTTTATCAATGGACGGGGTTGCAGAGGAACTGGAAAAAAGGGCTTTTCTTCCTGGTTCTGGCATGTTCTTTGTGTTTGTTTCTGTAGCATATGGGACACCTAGCAGTGGACACCCCAATGATTTCCAAAGACACTATCCCTATGGGTAGCTTCCCAGCGAGTTCCATACCAGGTCATCTCCCCATGAGGAGCTTCTAGCACCCCAGAGTGTGGCTCCTCAATGAGTTCTGCCAGCTCAGCACTGCAGTGGCATCTCCATCCAGTGGACTATAGCTGTGCCCTCTCCAGCAAGGCCTGGATCTCAGCCCTGGCAGGGAAGGGGAAGTTGTGACACCCTCCTGCAGATTTGTTCCTACCTTGTATGTTCTGCTTCAGCCCTAGAGACACTCTATATCTATTATTCCTATATTCTTTGGAATTTGACTTTCTAACACTTAGCAGTTAATAATTCTTAATATTAAACTTTCCCTGTTCAAGTGATTATATGGTTTCTATTACTGATACAGTATTCATGTCCATCTTAGGGACTGCCTTGCCAATGAAACCAAAATTAAATAACAGAATATTGATCTTTGAATATTATGGATATTTAGCCAGGCATGGCGGTGTACAACTGTAGTCCTAGCTACTCTAGAGGCTGAGGCAGGAGGATCACTTGAACCCAGGGCTTCAAGGCTGCTGCTGCAGTGAGCTGTGGTTGTACCAGTGTACTCCAGCCTGAGTGATACAGTGAGACCCCATCACAAAAAGAGTAATATCGTAACAAGTAAAATATGTGTTAAGAGCTGGTTGACTTAGCTGATAAAAACCCATCAAAAAAAAAAAAAAAAAAAAAGGAGAGAAAAAAATAATTATGGGTATTATAGAACTTTACTAAAGACTTTAATTCTTAACCCAAAGTTATAAATGATACTTGAATTTCAGATTCTAAACATAGACAAAGGAAGAATATTTCTAGGCAAAGAAGCCTTTCCACAACACTTGGTGATAACCACAAGTGGCTGTCATTAAGAATGAACCATGCCACAGATGACAGTTCTCACCTCCATCCTCAACCCCAAATAGACTGGGGCTTCTCACCTCTCTCCTGGATAGCCTCAGGCTCCTGAGTCTCACTCTTGCACTGGTTCTGTAAGGGCTTCAGCGGGCTATTCAGAGACTTCAGTGCTCCTGTGGATGTCATTTCCTGCCAGACCATTTCTTGGCCATGAGCTGTGTCCTAGGAGTAATCAAGTACCAGCACTATCATTCTGAGGATACACAAGTAGAAAACTCCTAGAGCAACAGGGCAGCATAAGAAGAATCAAAAACTCATTCAAATGATTACAGAAAAAAAAATAGGACTTAAGAGTCCTAGTGACTTGAACCCAATGAGTGAATAATTAATAACCCAAAAAAAAGAAAATGTGTAATTTTCTGAGAGCTGAGTCAACGCCCCAGTCACAATGGATTCCCCATTACTTAACAATAGATCAAACAAACAAAAATATCTACCTCTTACCTGTTGCCTTGGCTCATCGAGTTCTTTTTCCAACTCCTCCAGCATAGTCACGGCTTCCTCTCCATTCTCTGGCCGATGCTCTCGCACCCAAGCTTTCAGCTCCTCAGGAAGGATGGTCAGGAACTGCTCCAGCACCAGCAACTCCAGGATCTGCTCCTTGGAGTGCACCTCTGGCCTCAACCACTGACAGCAAAGGTCTCGGAGCCGGCTCAGAGCTTCCCGAGGGCCAGTGGAGTCAGAGTAACTAAATTGCCTGAACTGCTGCCGTAATACCTCTTGGCTCCAGGAGTTTCCCTGAAGGCCAAAGTCCTGGCCCCAAACATAATTTTCTTCTTCAACCTTGACAACTATAAGTCCTTCCTGTTCTTCTGGGGCACGGTAAGCCAAGACTGTGGCCTCTCCTGACATTCTGGGCAGAGATAGTCTGAAAAGCCTGCCCAGGTAGAGATTTGCGTCTGAGAGATTCCTTCAGAATTCCAACTCTTCAGGATGCTCCTGAGGGTGAACAATGCTCCTGTAACACAGGGAAAATAGGCACTTGGAATATAAATACAAGTTTTTGAAGGTCAGTTGCCAGGAAGCATAGCACTGTACAGAAAACTAACAGGGGGCTTCCACATAAATGATATACTTATAGATGATTCAGGATTTTTTCAGGATGTGAAAGAGAAAGTGTGAGTATGGCCAAAATCAATTTGACCTTTAGTAATACTGTTAGGAACAACATTAGGGATGATAAAATAGTGCTTGTAGATTATAGAACACAAGAAAAACACTACAGTATATGATTACATCTCAGAAATAACCACCATTTTATTAAGCACTGGCTGGATACTTAACATAAATTTTATATGCTTTTCCTAACTCTATAAGACAATCAAAATTATGCCCATTTTCCTAACAGGGCTACTGAAAGTCATAAGCTGACCAAAGACACACAGCCAGTGAACAGCAGAACTAGGCTGCAACCAAAGTCTTTAGCTATTTCTATTAGTTATGGGGTATCCCAAAAGAAGGGAACTCACACTTAATAACCACCTACTATGGACCAGGCACTTTACAAATACTGTTTTACTGGAGCTTAAGAATAACATCATAAGGTGTTATCATCTCAATTTTACAAATGAGGAAACTAAGTTTCCCAAAAGCCAAGTAATTTGTCCAAGCCTACAAACTGGTAAATAGCAAAGTCGAGATATAAACCCAGGTTGCTCAACTCTACAGCACTTGCTCTTTTTATTTATTTTTATTACAGAATGGGTTGATGTCCAGGACAATCTTGGTGGATACTAAATTAGAAATGATGGTGAAATGTCAGGAAGGGACCATGGAGAATGGGCAAGGTCAAGGTACAAACAAGGAAAAAATATTCTTGAGTCACAAGGTTCTGAAACAGCACAAAGAAAAATGGATTTTTTCAACAAATACTTGAGCATTTACTGTGTGCTACGCAGTGTATTAAAGAGAAGTCTCAGAATTAAAATATCTGTCCCAAATGACTCTTAGTGTAGTATTGGAAAGCAACAGGTAAACACAGTGATAAATCCAAGGACAGAGGTAAGTAGTCAAGGTAGCAGAAGGGAAAGATGGCTGACCAAGACCAAGGAGAGAGGGATGGGAAGAGCCAGAAAGAGCTGCCTGGAGACATCTCAGCAGAGTCTGCTAAGAGTGAGCTAAGTGAGATGGAGAGGAAGGTCACTCAGGCAAAGAGAACAGTAGGTATGAGAGAATGTGGCCCACTGAGAAAACTGAAGGTAGTCTGGGGAGACCAGACTAATTGGTTGTTATTTCTGACTATGGCTCAAAATCAGCCATGGAACATAAACCCCAAGACAGACTTCCTGGATCAGAATCTCCATGGGTGGGGCTTTGATAAGTGCCACAAGAGCTTCTGATGAGTAGCCAGGTTAAAGACCCTGCGCCAGAGCCTGAGCATAGATAATGAATGGTGAGAGAAGAGGTCTAAGAGGTTGTGCTACATAGCTTGCATTTGATCCCCACCGCCACAGTGATGGCTGGAAGGTCTGTGTGCCTACCCACAGAGTGGTGTGGAGAAGACATGGGAAGGGGTTTGTTGCAACCATTCAGGAGAGAGACAATGAGAGATTGAGCCATAGGAGGCAAAAGATAAAAAGATGGGTGATTTGACTGGACTTGACATACTGTATAAGGGATTGGAAGAGAGAGGGGTCCAGGACGTAAGTTTGTGGCTGGCCCTGGTGGCTGGAGGATGATTGTGCTATTTGCTGAGCTATTCATTAAGAAATGTAGAGCTGAGATGCCTACAAAGCAGCATCTCCTAAATGGTGCTTTGCCAGATATTAATAGATTTTTCATACACATCTGAACACAAAAAACCTAGGGATATTTTTCCTTTTAATTTTTTAGTGTAAAATACTAGAGACCAAGCATGATGGCTCATGCCTGTAATCCCAGAACTTTGGGAAGCCAAAGGCAGGAGGATCACTTGAGTCCAAGAGTTTGAGACCAGCCTGGGTAACATAGTGAGATGCCATCCCCACAAAACATTTACAAATTAGCCAGGTGTAGTGGCACTCACCTGTGGTCCCAGCTACTCAGGAGGCTGAAGTGGGAGGATTGCTTGAGCCTGTGAGGTCGAGGCTACAGTAAGCATGATTGCTTTACTGAATTCCAGCCTGAGTGACAGTGTGAGACTCTGTCCCTATTAAAAAAACAAAAAGAGAGAGAGAAAAGAACTTTCAACCCAGAATTTCATATTCAGCCAAACTAAGCTTCACAGGCGAAGGAAAAATAAAATATTTTGTGAACAAGCAAGTACTCAGAGATTTCATCACCACCAGGCCTGCTTTACAAGAGCTTCTGAAAGAAGCACTACACATAGAAAGAAACAACCAGTATCAGCCTTTCCAAAAATATACCAAAAAGTAAAGAGCAGAACATAATGATGAATTTACATTAACTAATGGGCAAAACAGCCAGCTAACATCAAATGGCAGTATTAAACTCACATACATTATTGTTAATCCTAAATTTAAATCAACTAAATCCCCCAATCAAAAGACACAGCCAAAACCCATCGGTATGCTGCATCCAGACCCATCTTACATGCAAGGAAACACAAGGACTCAAAACAAAGGGATGGAGAAATATTTACCAACAAAATGGAGAGCAAAAATAAATAAATAAATAAAAAGCAGGAGTTGCAATTCTCGCCTCTGATAGAATAGACTTTAAAGCAACAAAGATCAAAAGAGGCAAAGAAGGACATCACATAACGGTAAAAGGATCAATGCAACAAGAAGAGCTAACGATCCTAAATATATACACACCCAATTCAGGAACAACCAGATACATAAGACTTATAAAGGGACTTAGACTCCCACACAATAATAGTGGGAGACTTCAACATCAATATTAGACAGATCAACGAGACAGAAAATTAACAAGGATATCCAGGACTTGAACGCAGATCTGGAACAAGTAAACTTAATAAACATTTATAGAGCTCTCCACTTTAAATACACAAAATATACACTCTTATCAGTACCACATCACACCTACTCACAGGTTTAAATGAAATATTGGTTGGCTTGTTATTTTCTTCCCTCATTTTTTTTTCTTTAAAAAAAAAAGCAGCATCATATGTTCATAAAAATACATCTCTAACAGGGCTTCCAATCCCCCCTCTACCTCACCAGAAATGCTAACTTATTTACTGATTTACTTAAAAGAAAAACATATGTTTACTCAAAAGGGTAACAGAGCACAAGCTACTATGAAGAACTGAATGATTACTAAGGGCCAGAGCTATAGAAACAGATGTAAAAACCTTATGAAAAGAATAGACCTTAAGGAGATAAATGCTCTTAACCCCATCAGTGCAAAGTTCCCTGCAGCAATCATGACATTCACTAAGAATTGAGGAGAAACAATTAGCTCCTTTACTCATGCAAAAAAAA